TATCAACCATAAACCAGAACAACAATACGTAGAAACAAAAAACCGCATATTGCAATGGATGTGAAAGGCGTGCTACCGGAAAGCACAAAAGTAGAATAATTGTGGCCAATATATAATAATACTAATAACCATGGTTGTAAATACTAGTATTTTCTTATAATGCGTATCATCTTTGATTCAAGTTGTAATTTCAAATGATGCCCATTTTGAGAAGTCAGAAAAGATGAATAAAAGTAAGTTTAAAAAAAAATAATAATAAATAAATAAATAAAAAATAATTGAGATAGGTGATGGATAAGCTATGCGCAGCGGGAAGCACATGGGAACTAAAATATCATATCATTTGATATCTTAAACATGATAAAAGGTTTACTAACAAAATCCCTTTGATTGGTACTTCACACATAAAACTAAAAGGCATAATTCGCTTTACACACATAACAAAAAGATTGGAAATAAAAGGTCGAAGAGACAGACAAGCACATGTGCACCATTTTTATTTTCATAAGCAACTGAATTAAATACGATTTTCATAATAAACTCTCTAAAATCTACTAACCAAAGCCAATACCAAAGCTAAAACAAAAGAAATAAAGCCACAGCCAAAACCAAACACTATTGTTGTTTTTTATCCATTATTGGGTTTTTTCGTTTCTTTGTTTTTTAGTAAGATTCACATGTCTGGCAGTCAGGTAAAGAAACGTTAAAAAAGCATTCAGGTAAAGAGATTCCATTTCGGATGTCTTTATTTTGAAGTTCTACTATTTTTATCATCGAAAATAAATGACTTTAAATTAGTTAAAGTTGTATTTCTTTTCCTATTGAGTGTAATACGCTACACAAAATGCTAAAAAGAAGATGAAAACATTATCTGTTTATAAGTGACGGCATATTTTTCTCTGTTTAACAGTTTAATTTTCATTTTGTAAATAGAAAATCTTATTCGAGTAGCATTAAAATTAATATAGCGTATCATATATTTTAAAAGATATTAAAGCAAAATCTTATTTAAAATATCGCTCAAAAAAAGAAAAAAAAAACATTTTTAGTCTAAAGATTCATCATGTGGATTGAAAAATTAGGATTCAAATTTTTCTTTTGTGAGTATAATCCTAGTTGGTTACTTTTTTTGTTCTTGACAATAAAGTGAACTCCATTCACAAAATGTTAATTCCAGTAGGCTACCTTCAGCTGTTAATTGATTCGGAATCAATAAGTTTATATGAGAAAAACTAGTCTCGTGAATGAGTATATTTTGTAAGGTGATCTACACATGTGTTGAAAGTTGAAACGATTGCTTAAAAATTGACCAAACTCCAATTTGAAAGTCAATTCTTTTTCCTTCATCGATCATTTTAACTAGTTGCTCGCAGTCTCAGACGCCACTTGGTACTATGGTTATCTTAAATTACAAAAATATTTTGGTTTTTTTTGTATATTCTCAAAATTATAAATTTGGAAAATTTCTTATGAAAGTACAAAAGAGATTAAATTTCCACACATAAAGTTTTCTAAACTAAAAAAGTTTACACGTAATTTAGTCAAGTAATACACTTTATTGGAATTTAAGGTGTGATATGATAAATGAGATATGAAATAGTAATTGAATAATTCATCCCTTTTTTTTTGTAACTGTATTCATCCCATTTGTTTCTTTTCAAAGTTGGACAAATATTATTCCTAAATTTTGTTTCACAGATTTTTTATAAATTCGATGGAATAACAATTTCATTATTTTCAGTGTAAATAGTTGGTTTCAACATACTATTTATATATAGTTTATTTCAACATAAAATTTATTAATAGATTAGTTTTAACATAACATTCATAACATCTATAATGTAAATAGTTTATCTTTGCAAATACTTTACTCTTAAAAGATCACCTATACATACGTGTCAACTGTCAAATTGACTTCTGTCTCGATGTAGACAGTTTATGGACACGTTGATCCACATTTACAGGTTTATATGATTTAGAATCGCACATAGACTATACAAAAATCACAAGATCTAAAACACATTAGAGGGAAAAACGTATTAATTATAACCAAAATGCGAATTTCGAGTTTTTAACTCATCACGTTTACCAATAACTGGTCGGTTAAATTAATTAGGAACTACACTTAGTAAAAATATCGTTTTTTCACAACCAACGTTGTGTTACTTGTTGGAATATACTAGTTTAATCTTATCCTAACTTTTGACGTGGAACAATATTTCATATTTTGCTTCGGTTTTGTATATGTTATTCGTTTTTGTTAACTTAAATTTTTTTTATATATTTCAATGATAATAATGTACCAATTAGATTTTAATTAAGAAATAAATTACATCAATATTTTGAAAATAATATGATACATAATTATATAAAACTTAATATATTTGACATTTGATTTCCATATTATAGAGAGAGGTGGAATACTAGATATAATACTATCTAATTAATTCTCAAACCTCTCATATTTTTTATATTTTCAAATTATGATATGTTTGAAATCATAAAAAAAAATAAAAGAAGAAGAAGAATGGTGATTCTCGAACGTTTCTTCCTTGGCATTGGCTTTCTTATTACAGGAATAATTAATTCAAAAAGTATGTAAAGTAAGTCTAATTAAAAAATAAGAGATCTTAAGGTTTTTTTTTCTTTGGTCAACTCTCTGTCTAAATCAGTCAGATGGAGTTCAAAGTTTGAGATGTTTACTATACATTTTTTTCATATTTCCAAATCTACTCTGTTAAATATTTGAGATGTTTACTATACATTTTTATTTGGTTGTTTAAAAATTTAATAATAGTTTGGAATTTATTTTTTGTTTTCTATTATTGAATATATTTATTTGTTAGATTTCTTTACATTTTAGTATTTGAAGACATGACCGTAAAAACAGTTTAGTTTAAATAGTTTTGAAATCTTTTGATCACTGTTCTATGTATTTAAACGTAGTTTTTTGAAGTATCGTACGAACTTATTCGAAGAAAAAAGAATGAGTTAAACAATTTAGAAGAGTGTGAGAGAATTAGAATGAAGTCGTACATATTTATACTAAAAATATTTAAAGTCGAAAACCCTAATCTAGACATTACAAATACCGTCATTTATTGATTTTTGCATTAGATTTGACTAAATATCGGTTTTATTAGAGAAAAATGGTTGATAATTATACTAAATTATAAGAAATTAAAAACCCTATAAACATAAGAAATCGTAAATACTAACCTATATATCATAATTAACGATATTCCATTAGTGAGAGATGATTTTTTTAGTGATATTCCATTAGTTAGAGATATATATTCTCTTTTTTTTTTTTTACTTTTTGTTATATTTTTTTAATTCAGTTTTCTAAAATTTTAAAAACAGTTTGATTTGATAGCGAAATGAAGTACTAAACCATAACAATTTAGACCAGTTTGTTTTAAGTTTTTTTTTACACATTATTAGATAAAAACCAATAAAAAAATGTAATTGCAAAATAGAGTTAAACAATATTTTTGCAGCCGAAACTCATTTTGGAGCTGACAAGTAAGCAAAATACTCTGAAATTCGCTGTAAACGCGACACCTAAACAAATCACTACACAAATAAGTATATAGACTTTTTTCAGTGTTATTCGATTAGTTAGAGATATATATATATATATATATATATATTTTTTACTTTTTTGTTAATTTTTTTTTTTTAAATTTTGGTTTTCTAAAATTTTAGAAACGGTTTGATTTGACAGCGAAATAAAACATTAAACCATGATAGTTTAGACCGGTTTGTTTTAAGTTTTTTTTTTATATATCATCAGATACAAATCAATAAAAAAATGACACATAATTGTAAAATAAAATTAAATAGTCCATTTTTTAACCGAAATTCATTTTGGAGCTAAGACATAAGCGAAAGACTCTAAAATTTGTTTTGAATGCGATATCTAAGTAAATAACTACACAAATAAATATATAGATTTACATACGGTACATTTTGTTTGTCCGACATATACAACTATTATTGTGGATTAATTAATAACATGTGTTCATATCATACATTAAGTTGTACAAAAAAAGAGTAACATATAAATAAATGAATTAAACCATCTATAAAATTATTATTAATATTTTAAAATATATGAAAAATTTTAAAATCCTCCGCGATCCAGATCAAGATACTTGATGCAACGAGCCAATAACCGAAAGTGGCCGGTGCTATTAAAGTATTAACAATGCCACTTTCCACAAGCTGATCTCTCATTTCTAATTTTTCAATTTCATTCTTACGTGAGCAAATAATTAATCAAAATTTTTTAAATAAGAAATTTTTTTTTTAAAAAAAAAGGTCTAGTCGATGGTAGGTTTAGCCGTTTAGGTAAGAAAGGAGCTTACTTATACCTTTTGGTAATGTGTTCGTCAAAACTGAACCTATAAAGCCCACCCACCTCCTTTTATTTTATTTCTTCTTATATTTTTAAAATCCAAGTTTCCTTCGAATTTTAATGAATATAAGAAATATCTCTGTCTCTCCGAATTTAATAATGAAGTGTGTGTGTTTTTTTCTAAGTGTTTGCTAAACAGTAAGACACAATTTTACTCTTATAAGAAAACATATCTTTTGTAATACGTATAATAAGTGTCTCAACATCAATGGGCTTGTCATAAGAGATTTTCACAGTAATTTTTTCTTTTGGATTAAAAATGGTTTATTATCAAAGAAGTTGGAGGTAGTTAGATGCATCTTCTTTAAAGAGCAACATGTTTGTTTTTAAGCCATTAACAGAATATGTGTCCACACGAAACAACAATACTCTAATTAGGAAGATGCAAATCGCATGTAAACACTAATTTCTGCCATTAAATTTGAAATAATTAGTATTAATTTTGTTTCCCTTCATCCAAAACTTTCCTGCGTGTAATTTATTAATTATATGGATTTTGTTTAGTAGCTTGATATAATAATATTATATAAAAGTATATACATAGATGTATCTATCTTTGTGTGTCTCTATTATAACGTGGATCAAGATTCTTTCTTATCTTCATCACTCTCACATTCTTTTGTCTTCAAACTCACACAAAGAAAAAAAAGAAAAAAGACTCAAGAAATGACTCGACCGTCAAGATTCCTCGAGACGGCGGAGACGCCACCACCACAACCGTCGGAGCAGATGCTTGCGGCAGAATCCGACATGGTAGTGATCTTGTCGGCTCTTCTTTGTGCTCTCATATGCGTTGCTGGCCTCGCCGCAGTCTTACGCTGCGCTTGGCTCCGGCGATTTACAACCGGAGGAGATTCGCCGTCGCCGAACAAAGGCTTGAAAAAGAAAGTTCTTCAGTCTCTCCCTAGGTCCACTTTCACCGCCGCGGAGTCTACATCTGGCGCCGCCGCTGACGACGGCGGAGATTCATCGGAATGCGCAATTTGCCTCACTGATTTCGCCGACGGCGAAGAAATTAGAGTGCTTCCTCTGTGTGGCCATTCCTTCCACGTGGAGTGTATTGACAAATGGCTTGTCTCTAGGTCTTCGTGTCCTTCTTGTCGCCGGATTCTTACGCCGGTGAGATGTGACCGGTGCGGCCACTCTTCCACGGCGGTGAAAGATCATCAACATCACCAACACTCTTCACAACTCACTTCCTCTGTTCCTACGTTTCTTCCTTGACACTAATTTTTCTTTATTACTCGGAATAATTAATTCAATAAAGTATGTAAAGTGAGTCTAATTAGGAATTAGAGATCTTAAGTTTTTTTATTTATTTTTCTTTTTTGGTTTTTCTTGTAATCCACTGTGTTTAAATCAATCAGATGGAGTTCAAAGTTCGAGATGTTAATCTAATTTATCAAGAAGAGTGAATTATCATATCATTTTTATTTATTTTATTGATTAGACAGGTAATGAAGTCGGCCATGTGAACTTATCTGAGCAAAAAAACCCATACCCCCTCGGTCCCTCCGAAATTACCAAATTTATTTTCTCCTTTCTTACTCTTGGATAAATGGTTTACAGTCCGATAAGTCAATAACAAAATTGTGTTTTATCAAATATTCAAGACATCTCTTGTTAATTTAACAATTAGCAACTCACAAATCTATACATCTATATTATTATTTACCAGATCAAAAATCATATATATTATCACTACAGCGATTGTCCTACGTGGCATTAATAAAAAAACATTATATATCATTTTAATTCGTTTTGATATTATTAATCTTATGTGTACAAACCGGTAATATAGATTTTCCTTCGATAATATAATAGGTCATGGGCCAGCATTTTAACAACTGTCATAACCACATAAACCTAAACCCTAACATATTCTTATTTTTAGGACTGGAATTATTATCCGAAATCCGATCCAAAATCCGCTCCAAAAAAATTAGATATCCGAGAGGATCGGATCCGGATCCAGATAGTAAAATCCTATGTTTGTCAAAACGGATACGGATCCAGATAGTTAAATTATAAGGTCCAAATATCCGTATCTGAATCTCTAACCTCTAAATATATTTAAAAAAGATATTTTATTGATAATTTTGTAATATATTATTATATATATATAAATAATTTAAATTAAAATTAAAGTATTTTTTCATAGTAAAAATTTAATTGTTTTACAAAAGATTAAATAAAAATTTAATTTAATCATTATTTTAATATTTTTTTGGATTCGGATCCGGATTCGGATATCTTAATATTTAGACGAATATCCGCAGTCCGGATATCCGAACATCCCGGATACAGATCCGGATAATTAAAACTTGGATCTAGATATCACAAAATTACTCGGATATCCGCTCCGTTCTGGGGTTACTTCCTCTTATATATATTCGTTTAATTTTACATATGTATTTTCTTAACCTCTCGGTATTCTTTACATTTTGCTCTGTTTTTTTTTCCTATTTAGATGTTCAGCTTTAATCTTATGTTGATATAAATTGATTTTGTAATTTTAGTTTCCACTCTTTTTGTTATTTTCGTCACTTTAATTAATCTTTTCTTTCGGCTATAAATACTATGATCATGTTTTTCGTCTGTCCTATTTATTGTAATTATTAACATATGCTTTTTGTTGTTCTGTTCTCTTAGACTTCATCTCCCAAAGTTCTTCAAAATCTTACATGTAATAATAAACGTTTGTTTCCTTTAGGTCACTGATCCCAGCTTTTGCAATCATATTTTTAAATGGATCCAACAGGTAATTGCAAATAATCATTAAAATCTCCTTTTCATTTTAGATGGTTTTTTGCTTTTTGTATTTAACAAATTTTATTTTTCTTTACCTTTTCTTTAACACTCGTAATTTAATCAGTTTAAAAATTTGAAAACAAAATTATTTTAGCCGATTAACTCTTTTAATTAGCTTTTCTTTTTACATATTTTTCTCCTTTTTCTTTTTTTGCAAATTTCTTGTTTTCTTGTCTTTTTAACACTCTAAATAGTAAATTTTATATGATTTTGAGACTTCACAAAGTTATAACAATAATTATTATTTCTGTTTCTTGTTTGTTAATAAAGGAGAAAATAGTAATTTTTTCTATCCATATATGTTATTTCTTTTAATAATGAATGGAGGATCTACTTTTGTATTTAAAATCATTTTTTTTTTTTTTACAATTCCTCTATTTAACCTTCAAACAATAATAATTATTATAATTATAATTTTATAATATCTTGGTTATGCTATCTTGTGGAATGATGAACTTGGATTTGGATTATTATACTGGTTATGGGTTGATATAGTCATTGTCACTTATGTTCATCATGATGAATATTGATATTGGCTTCAAATTTTTTGTATAATGGTTTTCACCAATCAAATTAAATTGATTTGAATTAGTAAGGCTTCGTTACCTGTGTGACATACCTTTGATGCAAAAATATTCCACAACAAAATATCCAAGTTAAAATATATTAACCATTACAAAAATTAAATAATATTAAATAGTAGGATTATAATTTTAAATATTAGAAAAAAATCAGAACAGAAGGACATCTATTCATACATGATTTTCATAATTTTGAATTTCAGATATTTATCAAATTTTAAAATATCTGGATCAAAAAAAATATTAAATTAAAATAAACAAGTGATAACAAAATATGACTATTGTAAATGATTTTTTAAAAAATTATAGATGCTATCATTAAAAAAAGACAATTCTCAAAAATAGTCCAAAAAACTAAATATTCTCTAAAAGAGCCATCTTTTTCACAAGGACAAATATAGCATTTATCAAAAAAAAATAACATGATTAGTTTTATTTCTATTTTCTCCTCTATGAAAATCACAAATCTCACAAAAACCTTCATTGATCGCCTCACGACTTCCACCGTTGCCAGAATTACATCTAGAATTTGACGGAATCGTCGTCGGAGTTAGCAAATCTTCACTCTGAAAATCGAGATAATCCCAACTTGGTCTCCTTCAAACAATTTTTCATTTTCTTTGAAACCTTAATCGAAATCTCAAATTTGGGGAAAATGGGGGTTTGGGAAAAAATTGGGGGTTTTGAAAACTTTGTGATTAAGCTATAGGTTTCGGCAAAAATCTTTTTTTCTTGAATCTTAAATCGTTTGGAACCGTTTCCAAACTACAGATCGTCAGAAATTCAAAACCCAGGCGTGAATTTTCAACGGGAATGCCTTCCTAATATTCAGAAATGATTCATATTGGTTTAGGAATGTATTCATGAATCATTAGACCTTCAGGAATAACCTTTAAAATGTTTATGTATTTGTTGTTTTATATACCTACAAGTCTCAATAGTTTGTTTTAATCTTTGTATCATCAATTATTTTGACAGTTTTAACTATACATGTTTACATGTACAAACATGGACAAGCTTTCCGTGAGAAGTTTATTAAGATAATTTTAGGAAGCATTTCCTAAAATATTAAGAGACCTTATTGAATTTTCAATTCAGGAAGGCTTTCCTAATTTTCAGAAAGGAATTCGTAATAGTTTAGGAAGGTCTTTCTGAATAATAAACCTTCAATGATCACGTTTTAAATATCTCTTATAGATTTTGAATGTAGAAAATGTATAAAATGTTTATGTATTTGTTGTTTAACAAACATTTTCTCTTGATTTGATCGGGTCTAAGACATTTTGTGATGAATAAAGATGATTGAATACCATTAAGTAGCAAGTAGGTTTGCATTGCAATGTTTTTAAAGAATATGCTGATTCAGACCAAAAATAAGTTGTTTGTTATAACACATATCATATATGGACTCTTATACCGGCCCATTAGGCCCATCAGGACATTGTACTTAACCTAGATTCCCTATGTACTCTATATATACATTCCAGTGATTAATAAAGTTTCTAAGTTTTCACAACACGTTATCAGCACGATAAGACTCTCTGAGCGAAAAACCCTAATAAATTCGGCCACCACCAAAACCCTAAAAGCAAGTCGAAACTTAAAAGACGCATATCTTCCAAACCGTGAGGAACCAGAAGACGATCTACATATCAAATCGAAGCCCTCGACGAGACGAATCTACTGGTGAAAACCGTTTGTCGATCCAACGTCGGACGCGCCCTCACGCACACTTACAGTACACGACGATCAACCGAAAAAAAAAAACCAGATCCGAGTTTTTCCTTCTTCAACCAGCAGCTTCTCCAGTTTTGGTGATCAATCCTTGGAATTTGTAGCGGCTAACTGAGGTCTATTAGCTCCCAGTTTCATTAGCCTGTCAGAAATCCAAAGGTGGAAAAGGTATCTTCTAAAACTGAGAGCCATAGAACCTGTTGTTTAAACACTTCAAAACCCTATAAAAAAAAAAAAAAAAAATCGATCTCTAATTGATTGAAAGTGTTTGATACTCTGATGATTGATTGATAACTTGTTGATTGATTGTTTAAATTACAAGTTTATGCATGTTCAAAGGTTTTAAACTCGTTTTATAAAACCCTAATCTACAAAAACCTAACAACCGTTTTTGGCCATGTTTATGGCATAAACCTATTCGATTTTCTTCATGTTTAATAAGCTTGTTGCAGCTTATTTGATTGTTGATTCTCTTGCTTGAAACACTTGATTGAATAAACTAAGAAAATCAACCCTAAATCCTAAGCTTGATTCACGATTTTGTAATCTTCAAAATCGTAAGTCATAATGCTTAAACCCTAGTCCTTTTCACGTGATTTCTTTGTTGTCCTTGTGAAATTATTAAAACCATCGACCACAGATCCTATAGATCTCGAAATCACATCCAAAATATGTTTTCCAAACCGTTAAAACCCTAGATAAAACCCTAATCATATTCGGCTCCCCTAGGGTTCCTCCTAAACCGCCTAAAACCGGCTAAACCTGGTTCTCATTAACCGAAATTATATTCGGCTTTAACCGATTAAATCACAGCTATTAAACCGACATCATGTTCGGGGTAACTAAAACCATACCCTTTAAAATTTACTATTTCCGAGAAAGTTCCCTCTAATAGAAAGTTTCCTCATATAAAAACTTTCCTCATATAGAAATTTTCCCGACATAGAAACTTTCCTCATTTAGAAAATTACCCAAATTAGAAACTTTCTAAATTTAGAAACTTTCCTAAAATATAAATATTCTCAAAATAGAAAGTTTCATCATCAGCATTCAAAATTTTCTCAAAACAATCCCTAACAAAATCAATCTCATGTTTCAGATGTCAAACATTCAGAAATGTGAATTCGAGGCCCTTCACGTCTCCGGGGATAACTACCTCGAGTGGGCCCTAGACATGCGCTTGTTCCTTGCATCGAAAGAACTCGATGCGTGTATTACCGACGGTAACACCGCATCCCGTAAGGGACAGTCTCAGG